TTTTTTTCCCATATACACATACCTATGATAAAGTTTAATTTATAAATTAGGCACAGTAAGAGATTAACAATCATAACTAATAGAAAAATATAAAAAATACTATAAGAGTTATTTGAATGTGGCCCCTCTCTCTCAAACTCTTCTTATGATGTTAGATGATACAGTGTCTTTGTGATGAGATGAAGTGATGCATTATGACATAGTGTTAGGCTACTATTGACCTTACATTAGTAGGAGAATCATTTGTCTTTCACTGTCTGACTTACTACACTGGGCACAATACCCTCTAGGTCCATCCAGGTTGTCACAGATTGCATTAGTGTGGTACGGTGTCAGGTGGTTGCTGGACTTACCATAGTGATCACTTCTTTAGCATAGGGAATGTAATCAATAATGCAGTAATAAGTCTGTGTAGTGCCAGGTGGGTACTGTTGAATAACTATGATGTACACCTGAAACTAATATAGTATTGTATGTTAGCTATATATGTATTTTTTTTTAAACATTTTTATTGGGGATTTGGGGGAGGGAAACAGTGTTGGGGAATTGGGGAGGAGGACCAGCCAAGTTGTTGTTCTTCAGTCTTCATTGTGGAGGGTGCTAGTCTCCATCTGGCTTCCCATTGGCAGCTTGTGACCTCTAAGCTGAAGATGCTGTGTTCAATCTTAGTTGTGGGTGGGCGTAGCCACCATTCCATACGGTAGTCGAACTGGCAGCCTTGTTGTTAAGAGTGCACGCTCTCTCCACTGAGCCATCCGGGTGGCAGCTCAGCTCAAGGTGCCGATTTCAGTCTTAGTTGCGGGTGGACGTAGTGCACCATCGAACAGGCAATCTTGTTGTTACACCAGGTGAGCCATCCTGCCACCTGTTGGCAGCTCAGCGACAGCTCAGCTTGGGTGCAGCCTCACTTGCCCATGTGGGAATTGAACCGGCGGCCCTGTTGCTCAGAGCTCACGCTCTTAAGCCAACTCTTAACTGACTGAGCCACTCGGCCGGCCCTGGAATTGATTATTTTTTATCGTACCATTTTTCACTCTAATACTTGGGATGTTTACTCCCCCCCCCGCTCTCTATTTTTTAGTAGTTACCTTAAAGTAGGGATTAGCAAGTTTTTCTTTTAAAGCTACATAGTGAACGTTTTTGGCTTTGTGGACCATATGGTCCCTGTCAGCTTTGCCATTGTAGTGGAAAAGCTCCTGTAGAGAGAGAATAGGTAACGGTATACATTATGGATAAAAGAAGTAGGGAAAATCATCCAGATAGAAGGGCAGCTTGGGTTGAGTCCAGAAACTGGGAGACTATTTTTGTTGTTAAAGTGAGGTAGGGGAAAAGTTGTTAAGAGTGAGTCAGAAATGGTGAGCCTATCAGAAGATTACAAGAGAAAGAATTACCATGTGAGGGCAGATTCAAGAATGAGAAGATGGCCACCTCATTGAAATGTTATCATGGGGTGTATTAGGATGAGGATTGAGAAGAGGCTTTTGGATTTGGCAACTGTATAGTGATCGATGACATTTTCAGAGAACATTGGCAGTAGCTTGCTATATGGGAAGAGTTGTAAGGGAGTGGGGAATGGACATGTAGACCAGGGGTCAGCAAACTTTTGAGACGGAAGAGCCGCCAGGGGTCAGGAAACTGCGGCTCGCAAGCCACATGTGGCTCTTTGGGTATGTAGATGTGGCTCTGAAGTAAAATTGAAAATGAAAATAAAACTATCATAGTTTCATTTATAAGATTTTTACAGGGCATTATTCTCATAATGGTGATTATATAAAAATATATTTATGGCTTTTGAATAATTTTTAAATTGTTGTGAGGGACAGAATTGGCAAACTTCTGAGATGGAACGTACCCAAAGAGCTGCATGTGGCTCGCAAGCCAGTTTGCTGACCCCTGATATAGACCATTGATTCCCAAATACTATGCTCTGGACCGCCAACAATAGAATTGCCTAGATTTCCCAACCTCAGAAACATCATTGGGTCTAGAAATGTGTATTTTTACAATGTTACCCAGATGATTCTGATAAACACTCATGTTTGCTGTGAAGTTGTATTTGTGCATGGTATTTTGAGGCAACCCCTTTTTTCCAAACACAAAGTAATGATTGACAAAGTAACAAAAAGAGAAAATCAAACTTACACAAATGGGGCTCAAAAATGATAAACATTTTTATGTCTCAGAAAGGGAGTAGAACACAGAACAGTGAGTGAGGCTACGGCTGGGAGCCTGCAGGTAAAGCAGCTGAGGTTTGGCTTCTTTGAGGTAAATGGGAAGTGTCATTGTAATTGGTCTCATTGTTGGAAACCATGGGCCAGGATAGGTAGGGCTCCTCTGTTGAAAAGCTATTTCTGAGTTTAGTTCTAGGGCAGCCATATTGTACACTGTAGAGATCAGAAAGTGGTTACCCAGGGCATCTCCTGGAGTGATGCGGGCACAGCCTGCCTGATGGTAAGTAGCTTTGCTGCTGACTGGGGCCAGAGACCAGTTTATTTGAGGCCATAAACCTAGGAAATTCAGGAGAACACAAACATAACTTTATAGGTAGGAACCTGCCATCTTAGAGCATCTCCTTGCTGTTGTTACTTGAAGGGAGGTCTCCTGATTTAAACAGACCAAGTGTAAGAAAAATATTTATAACTGGGGAAATTGAACACTGACTAGTAATAATAAAAATTGTTGATTTTTAAAGATGCGGTTAATGGTATTATGGTTGTGTTAAAAAAAGTAGTAAGGGCCGGCCGAGTTGCACGATGGTTAAGAACTGGCTTGGGACGCCAGAGGGCCCTGGTTTGGATCCCACATATGAGGGCCAGTGACACTGCCCTCTACAGCTAAGATGCTGAACAACAGCTCAACCTGNCGTTGCCAGCGACTCACAGCAGCCCAGCTCCAGGTCGAGCTGTTGTTCACCATCTTAGCTGTAGAGGGCGCAGCGTCACTGACCCTCATGTGGGATCTGGACCGGCGGCCCTGCTGCTCAGAGCTCGGGCTCCCAAGCCAATGCTTAACCAACGAGCCACTCGGCCGGCCCAGGATTTATTTTAAAGGCAGACCAATAGTACTTACTGATGGATTGAATATAAGAGGAATTAAAAAAATACATATATAAGAGGAATTTCCTTACAGAACTCTTCACAGGGGTGGGGTTGGGAAGATTTTATAATGCATTAGTCAGGGTAGCTTAACCGTGTTCACTAAGCAACCCCCAAATATCAGTGGCTCTGCATAGTAGAATTTTATTTTATTTCTTTCTTACGTCATAGTCCAATATAGGTGGGCTGATGGTGGGTGCTCTTCTCAATGTGGTCCTTTGGGGTCTAGAGTCCTTATATCTGGTGGCTCTGTATCCCATAGGACCTTGGAGCTTTTCCCTGAATCCCTTACATTGTCCCAGCACACAAGGGAAGGCAGACCCTTTTATTTATTTATTTGACAGACTCTTTTTTTAGGGTCTTTGATTGGCTCAGCCTGAAGGAGGGAGGTGTTCATCACCCCTGCCTACATACCGTTCATTGGCTTCGGACTTGGTCGCACAGTCACATGTAACTAACTGCAAGGAAGGTTGGGAAATACCATCTAGCTGTGTGCCCAGGAAGAGGAGAAAATGGGTTTTTAAGAGTATTTGGGGACCTCTAAAAAAATAATTACAAAATACATATTTTGCAAGTCTTAAAAATAAAAATTTAAATATTTCCATATCTAAATAAGTTGCATATATGTTTATATATGTGATTACACATTATTATGGTAATAGCTATATTTATTTGTAGAACATTTGAATTATAAGTACTGAAAAAATGAAGAAACATGAATATTAGCTCTTGAACACCACTTTCCTAGAGTTATTTTTCTAAAATAAGTTCAAAATGTTTAATAGCTCTCTCCCCATGGAATTTATAGCTGTATATAAATTACTGTTGTTTTCTACAAATGGACCCTGCCTGGATAGTAGAATGTTCTCCTTTTAATACTCGTATGTACTGGTGAGGCCTTTACTTGAGTGATTTTTTTCTGCAGTAAATCTAGATTTTTATTTTTTTAGACATACATTTACCTGATTCTACCCTTCTACTCTTGTTACTGAATAATAATGTATGATTCTGCTTACTAACATTCATCAATAGATCCCTATGATAAAACAAGTGTAAAGATAAAGGATACTTCTTTTGTCATCTTGGAAAATAACTTAAGAACTTGATAAAAAAGTAAAAGAACTATATATATATATATTTTTAACAATATATATTTTTTGAAAATTAAATTTTATTAGCACATAGATGCAAAACACTGCCTTAAAAATCTTAGTTGTTTCATCTTTTTGACTGAACTTCTAATTTAAAGGAAACACTGTATTTTCTAACTTTGTTTTCTTTCTTCACCACAGTTTTTCTCTATAAATAGTCTCTTCTAACTCAGTCCAATGAATAACATCATAAGCTGGCTTACTCTGAACCACACCCTACTGACCACAGCAACTGTCTACCATATTGTTTCCCCTCTGTTAGCGTNGGCAGCTCAGCTTGAGTGCAGCTCAGTGGGCCCATGTGGGAATTCATCAGGCGAACTTGTTGCTCAGAGCTTGCGCTCTTAACCAACTGAGCCACTGAGCTGGCCCCTCAGGCTGTTTTTAAGACTGTTTATCCTGAGCACCCTTCTAGCTGCTAGATGGTGTGCTGCCCAATTTATGAATCGCTTAGTAAAGCCAATTAGATCTTGTAAGACTTCCTATACTAAGAGAAGAGATAGGATTTGTGTTCTAAAAGATGTGGTCAATATCACTGTTAAGCCTTTTTTTCTTGAGCATCAGAAAGCAATGATTGTGAAATACAACTTCTAAATGTTTCACATCTTTTATGTTACAGGTCTTTTGCCACGAAAATGGTTTGCACAATCTTGAACACGTACTATCCATGCTGATGGGATAGGATCCAATATGAATATAAATGATGGAGGAAGACGACGCTTTGAAGATAATGAGCACACATTACATATATATCCTGGGAAAATTTCAGAAGGGACAATCTACTGTCCAATTCCTGCCAGAAAAAATTCCACAGCTGCTGAGGTGATTGACTCTCTTATAAACAAACTTCGTCTTGACAAAACAAAATGTTACGTTCTAGCAGAGGTAAAGGAATTTGGTGGAGAAGAATGGATACTCAATCCAACAGACTGTCCAGTTCAACGAATGATGTTGTGGCCCCGAATGGCTCTGGAAAATCGCGTGAGTGGCGAGGACTACCGCTTTCTTCTGAGAGAAAAAAACCTTGATGGGTCAATCCATTACGGTAGTCTTCAGTCATGGCTGCAGGTCACAGAAGAACGGCGCAGGATGATGGAACGGGGTTTTCTTCCACAGCCCCAGCAGAAAGACTTTGATGATTTATGTAGCTTACCCGATTTGAATGAGAAAACTCTCTTAGAAAACCTACGAAGTCGCTTCAAGCATGAAAAAATTTATACCTATGTTGGCAGTATTCTCATAGTTATTAACCCATTCAAGTTTCTTCCTATTTATAACCCTATATATGTCAAAATGTATGATAACCACCAGTTGGGAAAACTTGAGCCCCACATTTATGCTGTGGCTGATGTGGCTTATCACGCCATGCTTCAGCGCAAAAAGAATCAGTGCATCGTGATTTCGGGAGAGAGTGGTTCTGGGAAGACTCAAAGCACAAACTTTCTTATTCACCACCTTACTGCTCTCAGTCAGAAAGGATTTGCCAGTGGTGTGGAACAAATTATTCTTGGAGCTGGACCAGTACTTGAGGTGTGTATAATACTTTTCTTACTCTTAAAACGTGTCTTTAAAAATTTTTTTTAAAAGTCTGTGAGACTTTTTTTAAAAAAAGATGTGAGAAAGTGAAATGAAACTAAGTAGAAGTATAGACATGATTTTTAGTTACCAAGGAAAACTGGAAGATGGGAAAATAGAAAAGGCAGTGTGGAAGATTGAAGAGTGTGACATTGGCAGTATTTGTTTCTAAGAGTGTCTTTGGGTCATAGTGATGCAAAAGAAAGAGCTGATTGGAGTCATATATACCNACAACTAGATTGAAGAACAAAAACGACAGCAACTTGTCTGTTCCCCTTCCCCCAATTCCCCAGCACTGTTCCCATCCCTCCACTGTTCCCATCCCTCCAATTCCCCAATAAAAATCTTAAAAAAACAAAAAACAAAAACAAAAAAAGAATAGAGGTGATATGCCCTCCAATTATCAAAACTTATTATAGAGCTATAATAATTAAGGTAGGCTCAAGGATGGACAAATAGACTAGTGGTACAGAATACAGAGCACAGAACAGATTGTTTTTTTTTTTGGGGGGGGAATTCGCTACATGACAAAAATGGCTTTGTAAATCAGTCGGGAAAGATCAGACCCTTCATTGTGGTGCTGGTTCAGTTGCTAATCTGAATTGGTGTGAAAATAATTAAGTGAGATACATGGAAATAAATTCTATATGGATTAAAGACCTGAGTGAGAAAAGCAAAACTTAGGCCTTTTAGAAGAAAATACAGGACAATTAACTATATTCTCAGGATATGGGAGGATTTTTAAACACTATACCAGGTGATAATACTATGTAGGCTTCTAATCTCAATCATATCACATTCTAAGTTATGACGTTGGGTAACTTATATAATCTTTCTGTGTTTTCTCATTTGTAAAATGAGGATGATGATGATAAAAACAACCCTCAGCAAGGAATTGTGGGGATTAAATAATCCATGTGAAATGCTTAGAAAAATGACCAGTACAAGTGAGCACCCAGTAAGAGTTAACTGTAATTGTTGTTAATATTGTTTTTTAGAAAAAGAAATCATACCTGTAAAGAATTGATAGATATGACAATTAAAAACTTATCTTCAACAAAAGGCAATGTAAAAAAAAAAAAGATAAGCCGCTGAATGGTAGGAGGTATTGTCACACAGGCAACTGAAAAGTGATTAATATTCAGGATATATATGAAAAACTCATTCAAACCAATAAGGAAAATCAACTTCAAAAAGGGAAAATGAATAAGTAACAGCTTAAATCGCAAGTGATAGGATAAGTGTTAGCCATCCTCACTAGTAATCAGGGAAATGCAAATTAAAGTAATGAGATACCTTTTTACACTTATTATATTGGCAGAAACTCAAGTCTGACAATACTTTTATTGGTGAAGAGGCAGAGAAACGTGAGCTCTTCCTACACTGGCTGTGAAATAGCTGGTACAACTACTTTGGAGAACTTTTTGTTAGTATCTGGTAAAGGTGAAGATGCTTAAATCCCAGCAATTGTACTTGTAGGTACTAAGCCCAGAGAAATTCTAGCAAAGGCACATGAAGAGACATGTATGAGAGTTACAGCATTGTTTTAATAGTGTAATATTGGAAACATTCTAAGTGTTCACTCGAAAGACAGTACATAGGTAAATTGTGAAATAAGCATACAATGGGATTTTAAAAAAATAACAATTTTTTAGAGCAGTTTTAGGTTCAGAACAAAATTGAGCACAAGGTACAAGGTTTGCCATACACTCCCTGCCTGCTCCCCAACCCCCCAAGCACAGCCTCCCTCATTATCAACCTTCCCCATCAGAGTGGTACTTTGTTTCAGTTAATGCACCTATGTACAGTGGCATTTTATTTGGCAATTAATGACCTTCACATGCATCAGCATTTATAAATAGAAAATACAATATTAAGTTAAAGTGAGATGTAGACTATTTAGGATGACACTATTTTTCTTTAAAGCTTAAAAAAATGAAACAGTACTATCTAATTTCTGGAGACCCACGCATTATTAAAATATAAAAACATGTTTGGGAATAATACCAACCTCAGGATAGTGCTTACCTCTGCAAAAAAAGGAGCTTTAACTATGTCTTTAATATTATGTTTACAAAATGATCTGAAGCAATGATAACAATTTTCAAATTTGTTGAATTCGGGTGGTAGCTATATGGCTTTTTTTTAATGTTTTATAATATTCTCTACATTTGCAAGATCATTTGGGAAAAAGGTAAAAAAACAGTTTATTCATTAGAGGGCTTTGACAAGTATGTAGTAGTATGAGAGAGAAGTAACTAAAGGTACTTTATTTTTTTTTTATTTTTTAACCTTTTTTAGCTGAGCCATCCTGCCACCTGTTGGCAGCTCAGTGGCAGCTCAGCTCAGGCCGGGAATTGAACTGGTGTTGCTCAGAGTTCAAACTCTTGAGCGAGCTCTTAACCAACTGAGGCAGTTGGCCAGCCCATAAAGGTACTTCAAAAAAAATAATACAGCATCTTTATATGTTAAAGGATGACGTAAGTAAAAAAGGAAAGCTTGATAACACATGAGAGTGTTTTTTGTTTGTTTGTTTGTTTTTTAAGATTTTTATTGGGGAATTGGGGAAGGGGAACAGCCAAGTTGTTGTCCCTCAATCCTAGGGGTGGAGGGCACAGCTAGCTCAGCTCCAAGTCCAGTCGCCATCCTGCCGCCTGTCGGTAGCTCACGGCTGCTCAGCTCAAGGTGCTGTGTTCAATGCTAGTTACA